TATCCCACAGAGCCTAATGAATAGCAGGCTATACCATTTAGATTTGTTAATATACACGGTGATGTTCACACAATTACAAAATTGCCTAATGAGGCATTTTGCAAATGTGTCTGAATTGTTAATTAAGTCTTCCACCTATGGCTTTATTTGAGAGATAAGTTAAGTCTAACAAAAAGTTCTCAGAAATCTTATTTGTGCTATCTCTTCTAACTAGACATTTATTGAGAATTTCCCTAAATCCCCAGCAACTATCTTCATAAAAACAAAACATGGTAAATACTATATCAGGATTATAAAAATCCTACTGAAAAACCGAAATAGCAACTCTCTGCTTATGTAATCTGGCATGTACAATTTTGAATTTTGCAGACTTGGTGCAAGTATCTAGGGGTAAGGGGCATAATATATACAATACCCATAATATAGACAATATAACCATGATATATGAAGAACTTAATGGGGGTCCAGTGATCTATATTCAGATAAATAAGATTTTGCTTTCTTGTTCCTATTATGCCTTATCCCAGGAAGGACTTAAGGCACAGTAAGGTGTTTTCATTCTCATTTTCCAGAGGAGTCTCTGAGATGCAGAGAGGCAGAGTGGTCACCAAGTCAGCCTCTCAGTGATCAAGGAGAGGTGGGACAAACCTAGGTTCCAACTTCCTGGTACCACACCCATTCCCATATTTTTTCATTTCAACTGTAGGCCCAAAAGACTAACCAAACGTGCCATGTTACCCAAGGTGATATTTAACTTCTTATTTGAAAATAATTTCAAAATTATAGAATAGTTCAAGGAACACCCAGGTTCCACTTTGCTCCATCTGCTTTGTAGTCTGCTATTTATCCATCCATCCACATAATTTTTTTTTTTTTTTCTGAACCATCATGAAGATATTGCATGTGTTATGGCTCTTTACATCTAGATACTTCAGTTTGTATTTCCTAAGATTAAGAATATTTCCGTACATGACAGAGTATAGTTATAACAAATTTAACAATGATATTACACTTTTACCAGCCATATTCTAATTTTGTAAATTAACCTAATGATGTATTTTTCTCCTCCTAGATAGGATCCAGTCTAGGATTATTTATTGCATTTAGTTGCCACACTCTTTGGTATTGTTTAATCTGAAACATTTCTGCAGCCTTTTATGACATTGACATTTTTTAAGAATACAGTTGACCCTTGGACAACATGGGACTTAAGGGCACTGATCTCCCATGCAGTCAAAAATGTTGTATAACTTTGACTTCCCCAAAACTTAAACTAACAGCGTACTGTTACCAATGAAGCCTCACCAATAAAATAAGCAGTCAATTAACATACATTTTGTATGCTACATGCATTACATACTGTATTCTTACAATAAGCCAAAAAAAATAAAATATTAAGAAAATCACTAGAAAGAGAAAATACATTTACAGTATTTATTGAAAAAAAATCCATATATAAGTGGACTGCACAGTTCACACCCATATTGTTCAAGGGCAACTGAATAGACCTTTTTTTCTTTCTTCATAGAATGCTCCTCATTTTAGATTTATCTGTTTCTTTGCGCTTAGATTCAGGTTATGCACTTCCAGATGGGTTACTACAAAAGTGATGTTTGTGTCTTCTCGGGCTATCACATTTAGAGGCACATGATGTCCATCTGCCTCTTACTGATGACATTAACTTTGACTACACAGTCGAGTTGTTGCCTGGCTTTTCAGTATAAACTATTATACTGGAACTAATAAGAAATCTGTGAGGAGATGCTTTAAGACCACAAAATAGCTTGTTTCTCCCCAAGGATGAATTTTTATAATAGTATTTTCACTGTTGCTATAAAAAGTGACCTCTATATAGTAAAAGAAATCTTGGTTTCACTTATTATACTTGAATAAGTTCCATGCCAGTTTTAACATCTGTTTTTATTACTGTAGTCCATGCACACTGGGTGTTTATTAAAAACTGTTCATTAACTGCTGTCTGGGTAGGATATGGGCAATCTGACTTTTAAATTCAACTGTTATCAATGCCCTAATTTTTGTTCAATGAAAAGAAATCTCTTTAACTTAGGCTACAGATGGCTTTAGAAATTAAATAATACAATTGAAAAAACATTCTATAACAAAAAAGAAAAAGAAAAGAAACTTGTAGAAGAACCTAACTCTATTTATTCAAATTATACATGAATTCTGGTTAAAATGATATTATTATCCAGCCTTTTTAAGCAGTATGATTTTTTTTTTTTAATCCTCACCCGAGGACATTTTTCCATTTTTTGTACAGATAGAGTGAGGGGAGAGAGAGGAAGAGAGAGAGAGAGAAACATCGATGTGAAGGGACACATCGAGTGGCTGCCACCCGCACGACCATCCAAGGCCGGGGACAAACTGCAACCGAGGTACATGCCCTTAGCGGGAACCGAACCCGGGTCTCTCTGGACCGCAGGCGGACGCTCTAACCGCTGAGCCAAACCAGCCAGGGCAGCAGCAGTATGATTTTTAAGTGAGCTTTAATTCAAGGCCTTAACTTAGATTAAATATATGTAACTTATATAAACTGTTAAAATGTCCAGTGGTTTTAGTTTTCGAGTTTGGTAACAAGCACAAAGAAAGCAATATTTGAAAGCAAGGCAAATGAAAAAACAAAAATTAAAAAAATTTTTAAAAATAATTTCTAAATTAAATATATTTTTTTAAGTTTTAAAGATGCCTCCTTTTTTATTTCACTACCATGGTTCTCAACATTATGTAAAAGCATGTTTTACAACGCAGTCATTCTGCTGAACAGTTATGCCACTAATTCAACAATTCTTTAATAGAAATCAGGAAACGGGGGAGAGGGGGGGCAAAGACTTACTATCTTAAAAAGAATATGAACTCTGTTATAGTCCCCTTTCTCTTTTGAGCCCAACTTCTCATCTATAACTTTGCCTTGCAACACAATAAAATTCCAGCCTGTATAAAAGAAGAGATGGGTTTTTTTAATCAATAGAATTCAACAGCCAAAGCATTAGTGTTTTGGGTTGCTTTTTTTTTAAGCATCTGTAGCCACAGGCTCAAAGGAGAAAGAAAGGGAGAGGGATTAACTCTCTGCAAAGAAGGTCAAAAACATAATTTACAAATGAGGCAAGAGGAGCAGCTGTATCTGTTGGCCTAATCAAGACTACCAGCTGGAGAATTTACCAGCAATATGAAAACCACGTCCACCAGATGTCAAGCAATGCAACTGGAGGCCAAACAGCTTTGGCTCAATGCAGTTCTCTCCCCTCTCTCTACCACCCATATTTCATGTTAAATAGTAAGGTGTTTTCACAGGCCACCAACAGGAATAATAAGAACATTTCTGCACAAGGGACTTAATAACATAATCATACCCCACCAGACTGGCTTCAGTACTGAAGTCCACCTCACATAAGGTTCTGTTGTGAGAAAGGAATTCAACTCACAGTCAACTTGGAAGGGGTGAGAGAAACACAAATGGCTGCAAGCCATTCTTGTGCAAGAATTCTTGTGGTTTATCAGACACTTTATATTTGGAAACCATTTTGTCACTGGGAAGAAAATAATTTTCTGAAAATACTTACTTGAATAACCATTTCCCACTCATTTTTACACCTGTGCTATTCAACTCAGTAGCCACTAGCCACATATGGTCATTTAAATTTACACTAAGTAAAATTTAGAATTCTGTTCCTCAGGCATACTAACCACATTTCAAGTGCTCAATAGGCATATGTGGCTAGTGGCTATCCTAGTGGCCAACACAATATAAATATAAAATATTTCCATCGTTACAGAAAATTCTAGTAGACAGTGTTGCTCTAAACCTGTAAATTGCCTTTAAAATGGGCTGTTATAATTCTCTTTTCCAAATATTATGAAATAAAGCAATCTTTCTGTACTCTCTTATGAAATAAGTCTATTAATACAATATAAATCTTGTATTAGGTGGGGGTGATGCCGAGGAGGGGGAGCTCAGGAGGAGTTTTGTGAATGCAAGCCAAAGCTTGTCTGTGAGGTGCCCCGGTACGTGCACTCAGAGACGCCCGTGATGCCACTGGCGTGCTGGAGAATGAGCAGAGGCCAGTCTGGATGGGTATTATATGACAAATAAGCCATAAACTATTCTTTCTCACATGTATCCTTAATTTGTTAATGATTTCATCTATATCAGTTTATACCAGAAGTTTCCTTACTTATGTATCCAAATGCAAAAGAAATCATGTCCTTTAAAAAAGAGGCTGCCCAACTTTGCAGATTTGCAAATGAGGTACTTTAATGCCAAGGAAACATCATATGCCACAGCTGTTTCTAAAAATTTTATGAACAAGAAGAGCATGAGGCCAGTATAAAACAAAATCCACAATGATGTTTCTTACTCCCAGGCTCAGCCCTCCTGAGTGAGGGGAAGCCAAGCCACTCAAGAGGTGCTGCGTGGATGCCCGTGTGATTGTTGTGACTCACAGAGGGCTGTGTGCCACAGGCACGGGACACATGCGTGCAGACTCTGACTCTGCCCATGAGGACACAAGGCCAGGGCATGCCTGAGAGACAGGAGCACAAGCCAGGTCATAGTTATCAGCACGTCAGCCACCTCTGCCCTCACATGTGCAGAATGCGGTCCAGGCGCTTGGCTTTCTTTACCTCTGTTTCTTTTATCTATTCCAACACTGCTTGCAAAATCACCAGTCCTGACAGCCTATCAGCTTCACTCCCATTTTCTCTTCTCAATACCATTTTCCTCTTTTCCAGTTATTCAGAATGCACAAAGAACAAGATGGGAAAAAAAAAAGGTTTTCCTAATCCTCCCTGCTCCATCATCAAAAGCATAAAAGAGCTGCTGTTTTTCTTTGGGATCATCAACTGTTCTTAATCAGATTCTCAAAAGATCACAGAGCTACTGCCCAGGAGAGGCTGAGAAAATCCATCCGTGCCGACTCAGCCTGTGAGGGCTCCTGAGAGGGCTGCAAGGTGTGCAGGTTATGCCCGGCATCCCCGCTTACCTTGGCTTTCCCATCCTGGGCTGACATGTAGCCAACACACATGCTCTCCGTCGTGTGGCTCCACAGAAATTCCACTGCCATGGAGGAGAACACAAATAGGCACATTCAGATCACAGATGGAAAGTAAATCTCGGCTTTTTAATAGAACAGTTAAAGATAGCTTTATACTTAACACACTCAATTCCCTACTTTCCATTGCTCCTTCATAAATGTCAAGATGATTTAGTACTCAAAACTGTGTAATGCCATTTACTGTGAAATGAAAAATGTATTTCTTTCTTGTCAAAACTTATGATTATTACATATAAAATAAATGCTCTTCTGTTTGAAACTTGTAACATTAAAGACACACATGTGCACATACACTCGTACGTACAGTACACAATAATTTAGTAAATGTAATATTCCATAATGTAGTTTCCTTAAACACACACACACATCTTGGTTTCTAAATATCATTCTTTACAAAAAGGAACCAGGATTCCTTGAAAAAATGTCAATTGCAGGGCTGGGGCAGAGAAAATATAAAATGAATCAGGAACATCTTCTCATGCCAGAAAATAAGAAAGTTATCAAAAGGGTCAGGGGTCAGCTTGAAGGGGTTCCTGTGGGCCAAATCTGTTTCAATCTAAGTATCAAAATAAATAATAACAGTAATGAATTATTACCACTGAACATAGTAAAAACCAATGAGCCCATCCATACTAATGCAAAAAAAAAAAAAAAAATGAGTAAGTAAATAGGGGAGAAGAGAAATCTCTTTCTTGCAGTGAATACCAGCTAATAAAAACAGAGAAAATTAAATAGAGTTAGCAAACCACCATGGTTGTTAAAACTAGTCAGTGAAAATTTGAAGAGGAACATGCTATTTATTTCCATAGGCTCAAGGTATCTCTCCACAAAATTCTTATTAAATATAAAGAGGGAAATGTAACTTTACTGTGGAAAAACCTGATGGACTGCAGTTTAACCAAATGATCTAAGCCAACATCATCAATTAATGAGAAACTGTTTTCATTTAAGGGAGACAAAGGCAACATGACAACTAAATGCAATGTGTCATCCTGGATTGCATCCTGGACAAGGGGGTGAGGGGACATTATCAAAACAATTGATGGAGTTTAAAAGGCAAAAGATTTGCTGAGTATGGCTTAGTAGATTGAGTATCACCCCATGGACTAAGAGGTCCTGGTTTGATTCCCGGTCTGGACACATGCCCAGGTTGTGGGCTCAATCCCCAGTAGGGGGTGTGAAGGAGGCAGCCGATTGATGTTTCTCTCTTACATTCATGTTTCTATCTCTCTCTCAAAAAATCAATAAAAACATATTTTGTGAAAAGGCAAAAGATTTATGCAGTCTAAAGAGAAACCAGAGTATCAATTGATGGAGTTTAAAAGGGGACTGTGGATTCGATAATAATGTTGTATCAGTGTTAAATTTTATGATTTTGATATCTATATGTAATTATTTAGGAGAATGGCCTTGTTCTTAAGAAATACACACTGAAGTACTAGGGGTAAAGACTTCTGAAATCTCTATCTTTGTCCCAAATAGTTTATGAAAAAACGCACATGTTTAAACGTGTGAGTGTGTGTGTGTATGTGTGCCTAAAGGGAAGATGCAGGGGAGGAGGGAGTGAGGATGGAAAAGCAAACAGGGGAAATAAAAACTGGATTAATCTGGTAAAGGAATCATGGATGCCCCTTGTACTATTCTCGTAACTTTTCTATAAGTTTTAAATTACTTCTAAATTAAGTTACAAAAAGAAAAAATCATAAACATATAGAGATACACACAGAACTTTGTCACCTTCAAGTACATACTTTCAAAATTCTAAGTTTTTTGTTGTTGTTGTTTTTTTTAAATCCTCACCCAAGGACACTTTTCCATATTTTGTTCAGTTAGAGTGGGAGGGGGAGAGAGGAAGAGAGAGAGAGAGAGAGAGAAACATCGACGTGAAAGGGACACATCGAGTGGCTGCCACCCACACGACCAACCAGGGCCGGGGACAAACTGCAACCGAGGTACGTGCCCTTAGCGGGAACCGAACCCAGGTCTCTCTGGACCATAGCCCAACGCTCTAACCGCTGAGCCAAACCGGCCAGGGCTAAAATTCTAAGTTTTTTTTTAAAGGCATTTTTTGAAGTTTTGAGGCACTTCTCCAACAAAAATTTCAAAAGTTCCTGATAATAAAACTGCATTGCTCAACACTCAATCCTCTGGGTCCCAGGCCATCCATCTGTTTATATCTCTGAGCTAATTAAGCCTGAAGACAAGTGTTTGAGTTGAGACACAACTGTGGGATCAGTGATCCTAGACTCTGAAGGCTTTGCCAGACATGTGGGGAAGGAAGAAGCAATAAGGGACAAAATTGAGTTCCTCAGATACGTGGCTCATTCCCTCATCATTAATTAATTACCAAACCTGCCAACCTGCTAAACAGACGCTCTGCTAAAGAGCGCAGGAAAACAGTGTCACGCAATGAAGCAAGTTCCCTTCACCAGATGTTTTTTCTTCCTCACACATCTCCTTTGAACTTCAAAAATCTTAAAGTCCAGAGCAAGGTCTCAGATATTCTAAATTGCCTAATAGAGCAAAGGCACCAAGTCTTACTGAATTTCCCTAGAGTAATGACAATGCAATAGTATATATAAATAAAAAGTTAAAACAAAGTAGCTCAACGTCTAGAAATTCAGTCTTCACTCTTTTCACAAACCAAAACAACAACAAAAAAAACAGGTACATTATGCTAACACCAACTATTTGAATCAGTAGGTAGTGATCAGTTCGGTATATAATTAGTTCAAGCCAGCTTAAGGAACTTAGCAGAAAATGTCTAGTTCAAATTATAGAATGCTTTTGAAAAGAAACCCTATTTTATTTTAGTGCATGTCTTAAATTAATATAACAAGTTATTTCTTGATGGAGGACTTCAGGGAAGCAGGAGAGGGAGGAACTAACATTCAGAATCTATCATATGCTAGGCACTGTCTTTTGTGGAACTCAGCAAAGCCTGGATGGGGCACCTGACTCTCACAGAAACTACTTAACATGATGTATATTGTTTTAGTACATGAACAAAGTGGAATTCAAACTGGAATTTTGGGTCCCTAAACCTATGATCTTCCATTGTTCTATTACTCTGAAATTTACTCAGCTTGAAAAGGACTTATAATTAGTGTTACATATTAAAAGGATTAAATTCCATGCAAACACCAAAGGACCACAAAACATCAAACACAAATACAACTCTTAAATATCTCTAAAGAAAAGCTTTTAAAATAATAACAAAATCCAGAGGTCATAAAAGACAAGATCAATAAATTTGACTACATTAAAAAATGTTTACAGTATTTTCTTTGCCATGTGGGGAAAAAAGTCAAGAGATAAACTTAGGGAAATATATGTACTTCATAGCATAGAAAAAGGACTTTTTTTTTTTTTTTTAATATACAAAGATCTGCTACAAATCAATGAGAGAGACAAATATCCAAAGAAAGAGCAAAAAGGATATAAACAAAAGGAAATATGAATGGCTCTCAAACACAGAAAGATGTTGTACATTTCTCTTAAACTAAAAGAACTACAAATTAAAACCACAAGATAATCATTATTCAACTATCAGGTTATCAGATAACAGAAGGTCTGAAACAATTTGTTTTTTATTCTGGGGATGAAGAAACGAGCACTTCCATATAATTATGGTGGGAGTATGTATGGCCATGTGGAAATACATTCTTGCAATTTGTGGTCGTTATGCCCTATAAGGTCACCATGAACAATTAATTAGAAAATATGGAGCTATTGCTCCTAAGAGAAATACAGTGTTAGACTCCTGCAAGTCTCTGGTCACACCATTTTCAATCAATAAGTAATGTTATTTTATGTGGTTTTCTGTTTAAAGACATCTTTATATTTCTTATAAGTAGTTAATTCTATGCAGTATTCTTTTTAAATTTTTTTCTTTATTGATTAGTGAGAGAGAGCAAGGGAGAGGGATAGAAACATCAATGAGAGAGAACATTAATTGGCTGCCTCCTGCATGCCCCCACTGGAGATTCGACCCACAACCTGGGCAGGTGCCTTGATCTGGAATGAAACCTGGTGACTTCTTGGTGAATGGGTTGATGATCAACCACTGAGCCACACACCAGCTGGGCAATATATGCAGTATTCTTTTATAAGAGAACAGGAAACAAGAAGAGTTTAACATTTTCCTGACCCTGGATTACCTGCCCATGAATTTCATTGGCTTTCAGCTTCACAACAATGCTGTTCCCTATGCTCTTTATACCGATCATCTTCTCATGAATCCACCATTTAAACTACATCTCCAGTTTTTCCAAGGCTTCATTATGCACCATAGATGTTACTTTAGCAGTTTCTGGAGCAAAATAAAGATCAGTCAACTTTTTCTTCTTTTTTTCTAGATATTTGGTATTGTTGGTTTGTTAACTTTGAACTCATGGTCAACCACACTATAACTCTTGCTTGAATGAAGCTCATCCCATGTGCATATTTTCTACACAAGACACCACAATCTCCTTGCACTTAGGACCACAAGATACCAATTCAGCACAATGCTTGGGGGCCATTTTAAACAAAAAGTACAAAACTGTGAAAAATGTGACACAAAAAGACCACAAAAAGGACACTTGGTTACAGTATGGGAGCTGAGATGAGAAGGTGCATCACCACATTCGCCTCAACTGGGAATGTGCATGTGAGGTGACTCAAACTTTTCACCACTCTGTGCATGCCCACAAATGACTGTGAAAGTGCTGGGAGAACTAATTTTGAGACTATAAATAAATGTCAGCAAGCAGGAAAATTAATAAATGCAAAATCTAGGGCTAATGAGGATTGACTCTAGTTACCAAAATGGCATTCCCTTTGACTTCACAATTCTATCTTTAGGTATTTGTTCTATAGATATGCATATGTATTTATGAAATAATATCTTTAAAAAGATATTCATTGAAGTAATGTTAATAAGGAAGAAACTAGAAATAGTGTAATTGCCTATCAGTGGGAGTATATATGCACAAAGATCATATCCTACAAAATGGAATAC